TTATTTAAGGGAGAAAAGGAAAGAAGGAAAGGGAAAGGGAGAAGGCGGAGGGTAGGTATATATAAGTGAGGAGGAGATTAAGTTTTAGCGAGAACGTTAATTTTTGGTGAAACTTTTAGTATGTTATAGCGTGAGGTGACTCGGGTGAGTGGAAATGAGGGTGGAAAGGATCCCATTGCAATCAACAGTTCGCACGTCTTCCTGGTGAGACACCGCGTGTGTGGTCTGAAGAAGTAAACCTAGCTCCGTAACCAATGACACATCGAATCCCATCTCCATTATCGATGTCATATCAAAACCCAGTTGACCAACTTTTGGCCTAGTTCCAACGAGCCATCTCTCCCTGGAATTGCGTAGAATATCATCTGCAAGCCATTCGCGTGGAAAGACGACAGCTTCCCAGTGCAAGCTTCTCTCACCGCTTGGGAGACTTCATGCTCGGGCACAATCCCACGCCAGGCTACATATCCAACATACGACCGCCGGACTAGCGGGAGTACGACTTTCCGTACTATCGAGTTTGATCCATCAGCTCCAATCAGAATGTCGACCGCGCATATTTCCAAGCCATGCGCCTCATTTTGAAACTTGACCTTGATCTTGCCGTCGCCATCCCCTTCAAATGTCGTGAGCGTACAGCCAGCTCGGTAACTCGAGCTGTTAAATTCATCCTTCCTGAGCGAGATATCGTCAATGTCATCTCAATCTCTCTTCCCGTCATACAACCGTTTGAGCATCGAGTAGAGGAGGTCCCAGCTCGTGGTGTACTTTTGGGACTGGCTCTGGTAGACAACGGTTCCAGATATGTCAAGGTCTGCCAGATACTGCTCTTTGCGCTGACTGGTTGATCGGATGGGTCGCATCTCTGAAAAACTCCTGGACCGACAGACCAGACACTATACCGGATCCATACGCTGGCAAGACCGATGCGGGATTGTGTTCGAGTATCCGGACTGTGTATCCGAGTCTTTTCATAATAATACCAGCAAAAAGGCCACAGATGGACCCACCAACCTGAATTTCCTGATTAGATATTGCTTTGCCCTGTAGCGGGAATACGGGCTTACTATCAGCACGTGTAACGATCGAGGTGAGACAGACTGCGACTCTGTACTTGACATTTTACCTCCTTCTGAATCCATGCCTGCACACTAAAAGAGACTGCCGGCTCCTGAGCTTTGCAACCACGCAAATAAAATGGCATTGCCTAACCTTTTAAAGATTCATTGAAGGTTACGAGCAAAGTCAGTGAACCTGTTCGAAAAGTGGGTTGCACCTGACGAACCTTCTCCTTCAAAAGCAGCACTCCAAGTCTCGGCAGAGTTGTGGCATTCTGACAAGCACGACATAATTACCTCGGAAACAAGGGTGCTGAATGTTTTCACCCACAGTACAGCATGACATTCCTGAACAGGAGAGATGCATGCAAAGGTCCCTATCAAAATGTCACCGAGCTCTCAAGTCCACTGCATTGCCAAGTGTTGTCAGCACCCCGCATGATGGATGCACTCCTCATCTGCACGCAACTGAAAGCGTCGTACCTGCATATGCCGGAATTTAAACGCCGAGCTTCTCGGCTGTGGTTGATTCAAATCTCAGGTTGTTTGTTCAAGACAGTTCAGCTGGCAGCTCGATGGAAGCGAATCGTGCCAGGCTGGACCGTTTGCATATCAGATAATTAAGCAGCACCTCAATCAACCCCTCGCCTCTATTCTAGCGATAAACGACATCCACAGAGAGCATGACACGTTCCGAGGCTCTCTCTGACCTGGTTAAGCCGTGGTGTAAGAAAGTGATGGACGATCCACAATGGGAGCGGTTGTCAACGCGGGCAAAGAGCAGTAATGCTCTCTTCACCGAGACACTCTGGACCGACGAAACCATATGCGCCCATCAATCCTTTTACAGGAGTCAGCGATCTGAAAATCTTCCTTCGGGCGAGATACGAGTTCTCTTATCACTCGGCTCTGGTCTTGATGGTCATCCTGGGATCTGCCATGGCGGATTCCTCTCCCTTATCTTCGACGACACCATTCACGAATTGGCTGCCAAGGAGCTACCAACTTTGGCGGTGACTGTCTCCTTGACAGTAACGTTTCGCCAGCCTGTACGAACCCCTGCCTTGGTTGTCTGTCGGGCTTGGATGGAGAAGGTGCCCGTTGGGAGGAAAGCTTGGATTGAATCAACAATAGAAGATGGGAAGGGAGGCGTATTCGCATCTGTAGCCAGCTTTATCCTCAAAATCAAGGAGAATATATAAGTGGGAACGCCTTGGATTAAACTACGGGAAAGATGCTTTTAAGTTGGATTTGAAATGTGCATCCACAAATCATGTACTCAGTTGATACGGCCAAAAGCGCAACCTAAGAGGCAATGGATCTCAAATTTCCAAGAAAGTGACCTATAGCGAGCCGTGCGTTTAAAATAAATGAGAGCAGAGAACCACCCCAACTCGTATTCACATTGCTCTCGAGCTTCAATGTTCCCTCAACTTGAACTCAAGCATCGGGCCATGCAAGATACTCGAGAAAGTTCCTTTCGCTTGAAACTCCGTCTCCAAGTTTCGCGGGAAGACCTCTCCCTTCTTTCCTTGGCCGACAGAGGCCAGATGCGCATCTGCAGGTGTTCGCATATCAAAGAGAAACAGGGCTCTGGCAAGACTCATAGTCAACTGCAGGATCGCGGCCGGCTTGCCAGCGGAGCCTCTGGCACCCATGGAGAAAGGAGCCCAAGCTGATTGGGCGACCTCAACATCATGCTGGGAGTTCTCAGAGGTGAGCCAGCGCTCTGGACGAAAGGCGTAAGGATCGGGATAGTAGTCAGGCTGGTGATGGATACTGTAGATGCCGACGCCGACATCGACACCCGCTGGCACGCTGCGCCCGTCGATGATGGCGCCCCCAGGAAGAACCTCCCGCCACAGGGCACCGCCGTTCACGGGGTTCATCCGCATCGCCTCGTCGAGACACGCGCGGAGATAATGGCAGCCACTCAGCGTCAGACCAGGCAGGATTTCATGAACGCTGCTGAACGCGGTGCGCACTTCATCGCATACCTTGCGGTAAGCCTCTGGGCTCCTCGCGAGGTAGAAGAAGGCGGCTGTGAGTGAGGTCGAAGTTGCATCAGGGCCTGCATTGTACGTCAGTGTGAGAGGCGTGGAGATCATACACTCGCCCAATCCCGGACGGGAAAATGAACGAGGAAGTAATGCGTGACGACGTACCTGCCCCGAATAGCAGCAGAGCCTCCGCGCCGAGCTCATATAGCGGAAATGCCTCGCCGGTATCTGGGTCTTTGTAATCCATGTAGATGGAGAAGATGTCGGGCTCTGCTTTCTCTCTCACAATCCTCTTCTGTAGAAGCCCACGGAAGATATCTCGCAGCCGCTGGCGTTCGCGAGCTAGTTCTGGGAGGAGATAGATATCCAGACCGTAACGTGCAATCTGAGGTGCTTGGAAGACAATACCTATCCATTCATATGATCGATGGACCAGTTGGAGAATGAATCTGTTCTTTTCAGTCGTAAGAGTTTCGAAGGATTCGTCGAGCACGGCCTCGCTGACAATATCTGACATGAGATATAAACCTAGTGTGATTTAATCATCAGATTTTGGAGATGAGCAGGCCGGAGGTTGACTCACAGTAATCAGACATTTTTCTCGGGGGGCTCCATTGGAGTTCCGGAGATTGATGGTTTGAGTTGAGATCAGGTCCAATTTCCCTACAAAAGATATCTATCTGCCTCCGTTGTACATTCGTCCATATCTCCATTGACTTGACTGAAAATGCTTGCTTGACCAATCTTCCTTCTCTTTCGGATTTGTCTGCTGATCTTTACCTCAACAGACCAAGATGATTCCAAATAAGCATTATATGGATCACCAAGTAGAGCTCCAATGGTACATGCGCCCGATCCTATTAGAGTGGATCGTGCAGGTTCGTGAGAGATTATCGCTGGCTCCAGAAACACTTTTCCTCTGTGTCAATTATATTGACCGCTTCCTATCTCGCAAGACTATTTCTGTAGGAAAGCTTCAATTGGTTGGTGCCACAGCAATCTTCATTGCTGCGAAATATGAAGAGTCCGTCCCACCAAAATATGAAGAGTCCAGCCCACCCTCAGTTGGCGACATTGTCCATATGGGTGACGGCGGCTACACTGTTGATGAGATCCTGAAAGCTGAGCGGTTTATGCTCAGTATGCTTGAGTTTGAGCTTGGTTGGCCTGGACCAATGAGCTTTCTCAGAAGAATAAGCAAGGCCGATAACTACGACTTGAAGACCCGGACACTAGCAAAGTATTTTCTGGAGGTCACAATTATGGATGAACGCGTCGTTGGAACAAAGCCCAGCATTATTGCAGCCGCTGCCTATTTCCTCGCTAACGCGATGGTCATCAACTCCGGATGGGTAGGTGTTTTTCTCCGGCCATGTCATAGAAGCCATACTTATCGCTGAACAGACTCCCGCCCATGTGTATTGCTCCGGCTATACCAAGTCTCAGCTAGAGCCACTGGCTACTATGATTATTGAATGCTGCAAGAATTCCAAGGACCACCACCCTGTGGTTTTTTGGAAATACGCCAGTCGCCGCTACAACCATGCGTCAACTTATGTCCAGGAAATCATTGGAGGCTTTACTCTACCCACAATCCAACTGCCTATCCGTCATCAAACCCGGCCGGAAGAAAAGCGTTTAGAAATCTTTGCCGCCGACGAGCAAGATCAAAACTACAAGAGTCTTGTTCAAGGCAAGTCCTTGGAGCACATTATTTCCATATTTTCCGAACTGGTTATGAGCTCGTTGTGTCATGGTTACAATGCAAGCAAGGATTAAGTAAGCAGATGGGTTGTACTAACAGGTGCTATCAATGTATCTTCATGCGATAAAAATTTTGGATTACAAAATAGAAGACACACGTTTTCCGTGATAGAGAGATCGTCTCCTCGACACCGCGTAATGTGAAATAATGCCCACTTGGAGCTTTCAAACGAACTATACAAGGACAGTACTGCAGTACTTCAAGGACTATATACCGCTACTCCTTTCGAGTAACTCGATACGAATTTGCCTTCCTTAGGAATAATCAAGCCGAAGTTCATCAAGATGAGGAAATTTTGCACGCAGCTTCTCGATTCTGAAGGTTTACCCTACTGATGCTAATTTATTGGCTACTGATGATAAGCGTAAACCAATTCATCTAATTCTATCACGCGACATATTCCGACTAATTCTCCCCAGAATTCCCTAGTGACTATTCTTACACTCAGCCAATAGCCTTCAAAGCCACTTTGAGCTTCACTATTAACTCCCTCCGAAAATCGTTGTTGCTCTTATCGCTCCACCGATATTTTTTGATTATTCCCTTGACTATACCGGCAGCTTCCCTGGTTGGCTGGCACCTTCTAGTCTTTGCACCACCAGTTACTTTTCTTCTGCATTCCTTTTGCCGCTTCTTTGATTTCTGCGATGCATTAGTATTTTCTAACACAAAATTATGGTTTGATGACTTCTTGTTGGGCTACCCTTTTCATTGGATATTTGGTCGTCAAGTAACTTGCTCCATTCCGCCCAATCCATCCATGACTCTGATGAAGCCACTTGAGCCTTGCTCCAATCGATCCAATCGATCCATGAGTCTAATGAAGCCACATGAGTCTCTGAAGGGGCAGAGATTTCCACAAACGACTCGTCGATCCTCATATTCGTTTGTGCTGCCACCAGATCGCGATCTGATATGGAAACCGCAGCCCAATCTTCCAAGTAGTCGTAGGTGGGAGCTTCGCCGTAATACATTCCGAAAATGTTCTCATTGAGTTCTTCATCTCCTTCCGAAACAGATTCAGAGGTTGACATTTGAACTGGTGACAGGCTTTCTTCTGGGAAGTCGTCAAGATATTCTCTCCAATGTCCTAATTCAGTTGAGGAGTTTCCACAATCTTCGATGGGACCGCTGGCTTCTGCCCCTCCAAAGTAATGCGGCCCCAACGAATCTCCTGCTGGTGATGTATCTTTCATACTGGTGGTAGTCTTCTCCAAGCTATGATCCGGTCAGAAAGAAATCAGTAGAGATATACTATGCTCACCTTTTTATGTGATGATCCTCTTCTTCTGAGTTCACATGCGCAATGAAGCGGTTTGCATCAATTCCGTAGATTTCAGAGTTGCCGAGCAGATTCTCAATGGAGTCATCTGTACGAGCGACCAGCTCATCTAGGTCGACAATTTTATCATGGCTTCGTAAAGCCAACACACCTCCTATCGCTGATATGTCATTTTGGCTGAGTGAAGACATTTTGGAGGATAGAAATCGATTGATAATAGCTGTACGTTGATGATGCTGAGAAGTTGATACTGAAGTGTACTAAGACTCTGGAATGAATGGAAGATGCTGAAGCTGGGAGACTTGTCAATATATATTATTCAGACATGCTCTGAGCTCACATGTTCGACCTCACGCATGAATTTGCATTCCTTGCTTTAACTTCATGTTCCCTAATCTGTATACGCTAATGCCGCTCCGATGCGATGCCCTGTACATCTAGTGCTCCACCACCTGCTTGGGCGGGAATGAGAGTGAAATCCGGAATGGCGACAGCCCCTCTTGCATGAAAACTACTCGTATTGCCAGGCGATCAACAGTCTTGCGAGGTTTGATATCATGATCCATCTTGCATCTCCCGTTGATTTCAAACGAGGCTTTGCCATCAGTTCCATGCGTAAGGCATACTCTCTTGTGAATGACTAACAAATACGTAGACAGATCCACCAGTCTGCCTTGACCAGAGATGCGGTTATTACCGTTTGCATGAAAAGCCTTAGTAGGCAGTGTTCCATGAAACAATCAGGAAATTGGAGGAATATTTACAAAAATAGATACCATGGCGGTTTCCAATCATGTATAAATGCCCACGGCTTCCAGTTATTGAACTTTTCTAAAATCTCTCACACGGATTCGGATCTCACCTCAAAGCTCCCCAAAATCAAACGAACACTATGGCCACCTACAGAGCTTGGAATTTCAATCGATTTGTGCATGACCTTATTGAAAACTCTTTTGAGAGCTTATCCATTCTTTCTGTTGATTCCATATCTATCATCTCCTCATTGGTGCGCCTTGCTGGAGGTCTTTTCTTTCTCAGTGTGGCTTATATCTTGAAGCTCGTCTGTAAAGCATGTGGCGGAGTCGACATTTCGATGGAACTCAATCTCGATCTCGATGTTTCAGTTATCAGCAAATATTTATTGCAGACCATATCAGATTTGTTATATTTGTCTGTCCTCTGGGTATTCGTCGTCAGCTTATTGGTCACCACCTTCCTCATCGGGGCACTCTGCTTCCTTGTGCGTGTCGCAGGAATTTTCTTTCGAATGATCGAATCTATTCATATTCCTCGAAGAATTAGTTCAGTTGCTACAACATTTGGATATATCAGGGACTATGTAACTTTCCAGTGTACAATTTTGATACCTTGGAAGTCGGCACGGAAAATATTGGACACGCACCCTCCCTCCAAGCTGGACATCTATCTTAATGACGAGATTCACCACATCCTGAAAGCAATTATCTTTCAGAGACTTGAAGCGGAATGCAGCTGTGCATCCCATACGGAGTACTGGTACGATCACGAGGAGGAGGGTGGAGAGCAAGAAGAGAATGCCAACAGTCCAGAATACGCCGAGGCCGAAGCCCAATAAAGACGGCAAACCCGCCGATGTTGGCGGTAGTAGGGAGGTTGGAAAGTTGGCGACGAAGTTACTGCAGAGCGTCTTCTTTGTTCTTTTTATTTTTTTCAGTATTAAGCTGTAAGACAGTCATCCTCGGAGGGAGTGTAAAATAAGATTGAAAAAGAGGAAATAATGTACTGTACCTTACGTTTCATTTTAAATTATCGTTTTCAGCAATGATGTAAATTAACATACTTTTCATTAATTTCAGTGAACTTCGATACATAGTGTACTAGAAAGGGATATTAAGACCTCCCTAGGATGACGGAACTGATGACCACTGCTGATTAAGGACGCAACCTGACGTGAATGTTCGCCCCTTGTAAAATTTTGCTATATGCAAATATTCACTCTCTCGATGATCTCGACATATTGGTTGCCAAAGCTCATCTTATAGACTACAACGGATTCTATTCCCCTCGGAGAAAGGATATAAGATTATCGGGTGATTATGCAGACGCCGACTTGCCTACGAGATTTGTGTCTCCAGTAGGTCTGGCCATGGAAGTGACTTGAATGGGTGGAAGTATTGAGAAGCATTCCAAGAAGGAGCTTTTCGCAAGCTTCTCCATTCAGAGGATGGCATAAGGGTCTTTGTAATCTTTTCAATGCTTGCACTTGAAGAGAATGAATTAAATACCTCAGAAGATCAGATAAGGACAATGCTCGAAAGGTACGGCAATGGAACACTCCCTAGAGGTGCACGACAACTCCGCGTGAAAACATTGCTACCCGAGTCGTGAATGTATCCTATGAATGTAGTCTCAAAATCCTTGTAATGTCTAAGATATATGTTGGGTTGCGAATATGCAATGAAGCAACGCATGTGCCTTTAAACTGCAAAAGCAGGCAGTTCATCGGACTGAGGTTGAATACATAGCTCTCTTGTGTTAAACAACGCCATCAACGGCTTTCTCATGCGTGCTAAGAACGTGAGCAAAAGCCTCATCCAAGATCCTCAGACCTTCCTCGATTTCCTCAGCCGAGACAGTCACTGGAGGAGCCAAACGAAACACACCTCCCATCCCAGGAAGATTGACAACATTACATGAGAGACCACAATGCAGTGCTCTATCAGAAACAGCTTGTCCTAAATCGGGACCCGGTGCTTTAGTCTGAGCGTCGGAGATGAACTCGATTCCTTGAAGAAGACCACGACCTCGAACATCCCCTATGCACCAATACTTCTCTTGTAACTTGAGCAACCCACTGCGCAGCTGCTCACCCCGTTCCTTGGCTTTCTGACACATGTTGTCTCGCTCTACAATCTCGAGTACCTTGTCGCCCACGGCTGCTGTCAAAGGGTCGTTGAGATGGGTCGTAAGCCATAAGAATCCCGCCTCCTTGCATCCTCGCTCGATTTCAACGGTGGTGCTGACGGAGGCTAATGGTAAGCCGCATCCAAGAGTCTTGGAGAGAGTCAAGATATCAGGAACAATCCCGGAATGCTCAAAAGCGAACATCTTTCCAGTACGACCTACTCCAGTCTGCGCTTCATCCATAATGAGAAGCATACCTCGCTTCTTGCACTCTGCACTAAGACGTACCAGATATCCCTCCGGCGGCTCGAGAATCCCGCCTGTGGAGAGAATCGGTTCAGCAATGAAAGCAGCCAGAGATCCCACGCTCTGTCTATCAATCATAGACCATCCGTAATCCATCTCAGTCTCCCAGTCGTATGAGCCATCAGCTGTTCTAAATGGCGAGCGATAAGCATACGGTGCCGGAAACGCGAGCTGGCCAGGCATTGTAGGTCCTCCGTTCTTTCGGCCCGTGGGATAGGTAGCAGATCCAGCACCTTGAGTAAGACCATGATAGCTAGCGGAAAACGCCACGATTTCGAATTTGCCTGTGTATAATTTTGCCATTTTGATGGCAGCCTCTGTTGATTCGGAACCAGTGTTTAAGAAGAAGGATTTTTGTAAAGGCGCAGGAAGGTGGTGAGATAGACGCTCTGCTAGGTTGACTACGGGATGTGTGATCATGTTGCTGAGTAGATGATCTAGTCCCGCGACGTATTGTTGGACTACGGCGACGATCTCGGGGTGGGAATGGCCGAGTAGGGAGCTCATTTGACCGGATGTGAAATCGAGGATTTGGGCGTTGTTGTTGGAGTAGAGCCGGGTTCCTTTTGCGCTGGTGATTATCACTGGTAAGGAGGGAACGCCGGTGTTTAGGACGTATTTGTCGGCTCTTGCCCAGAAGGAGGCTGAGTCGGATGAGGTTTCGTCCATTGCTTGAGAGTTTGACGGTACTGGGCGAGATGAAGATAGATGGTGATGTTGGCGGGATGGAGCTTTTGCTGTTGATATAGTTGGTGAACTTATGTTGAGATAGATGAGTAACGCACCAGTAGTCCTATGGCCAGATTCACTCTGTCAGTTGGAATTCGGTTGTCTCCACTTTTATTCGCTGGTTTAGGACTAGTTCAGGGGCTCTTAGTGCTGAAACCTTTCATGCCTATATATCCTCACTCCTGTACTCTCACTTAGATTCTTCAGACTTATCAATACTACTCCTTTCTGCCCATATGGTTCCCGTGATATACGCACCTTCCATCTGATACACTCCTCATATCATAAGTTACGTCGATGTGTCAAATTTCCTTTTCCGTGTTAGTTGTACTTCAAATTCACCATCGCTCGGAAATTTGTTGCGGGCCAGACTTTCCCGTCGTACGCGACTTTGCTGCAAATTTAGAATTTTGATGGAAGTGTGAGAATCAGGCTTCGGCGCCGATATTAAATTATTCGATAATATCGTGCCGATATCGAATCCGTTGAATGAATAAAAAATATCGTATCGTCCAAATTAGGAA